ATTTCAATAAAATGTTAAGCATTGAGTAATTATTACATACTTCTGTTCCAAATAATAAATAGCCTAATACGGAGAAAGCGATAAAAATTACGAAAAACATAAGTGCAAATCCCATCATGTCGTGTTTACATTTAGAAAGAGTGTTATTCAGCTGAGCCATGTTCTTGTTAAAGTTCAAGTACTTGAAAACTTTAAGATATATGAAGAACAGCTGCACAGCTAACAAATTGCAGTATATTTTTTGGAAAGTTGAAAGCATATCCAAATTCGAGAACTCTTGCGGACTTTTCGATAAATGCTCAATCCTCTGATCCACCCATATTGTTCGTATCACACCCAACGTCATAGCCGTATAGCCCAACTGCAATATAGTTTTATAAAATATTTGTGCCCTGCGAATTTGTATATACTACAATTAAAATTAATAAATCGATGTACGACCAGAACTTCTTGAAATACGCCGTCTTGAAGTAAATAATTTCGCGGATCTCCTCCATCGTGTAGTACAGATGGAACCCGAATATGATTGTTTCACAGCCCATAATAAAGAAGTCGTAATTGGTTGCGTAGCGAAGCAGTTTGACAACATGGATTTTTTTGCTTGCTATAACACCTCCGGTTGGAGGAAATTCGAAACAACTCCTACTTACTATTAGGAAGGCAATTCTTGTTATTGGACTTACCTAATGATACTGAAAAGATTAACGTTTGAATTGTAAACGGCGAAATCCAAGAAGATGACACGTGTACTCCTTGTTATCCATAAACCATTTTTCAGAATTTTTATCAGGTTCAATGTTTCGCCCATCGTTAAACCCAAATCTTGAATATAACCACCTCCGTGATACCAGTCAATTTTACCCCAATAACTTGAAGTTCCTGTAGAATATGAGCTTTGCCAGGTCCAACTATAATTAAATAGTCTTAATAAATTTAATAATTATGAGAGTGCTAAGTCAAATATACGCTGAAGTATTTTTATATCCGAATGGCTGAGTGTCTTCATTGTGGTGCGAATAACGGCCATAGCAAGTTAGAAAAATTTTCTTGAAGTACTCGTGTATAGAGCAGGAATTCTGTTTAACTCTTAGCTGTCTTAAACGGGGAACGCCGAGCAAATAATTTTCATAGAATATGTTTCGATCATGTATATTCGTTGCCGACACTTGCTCGTCTGGATAGTACCAATAATCCCAGTAAAAGCTTCTCGTGAAGAAATTGTCCAGAAACTGGAACAAATGAATATAATACTTTGGGGTTCTACTTCTAAGACGTACGAACACTCCAAAACTTTGAGGCAGAATTAACATCGTCAAAATCGTTATTTTCAAAGAGTTGCTCGTTTATAACTTTGTAGAGATGAAACATTGAGGAATTAGCCATTCCTAAACATATGAGCGTAGCAAAGAATCCAAATATTAAGAAGTAGATAGTCTCCTTCAGAGTTGTCATCAAAATATAATCACGACCAAGATTCTCTGCCATTTCTCGAGTGACCCAAAGGACTTTCTTAAACAATGCATCTAAAAACAGAAATATTATAGTTTTTTTTACAACAATATTCAGATTTTAATTATTTCTAATGCCAAAGTATTCTACGAAAATTGTACATTATTAAAATTACCAAGTTGATTCGTTTCATCATCTGAATCCACAGATTTTTGCTTTTTCCTAGTCATTTTTAACTTCTTATTTAGTTTCTGTAAGTTAAAATTTCAAGTTCAGAGCTGTTTCTTAATATCTCTATAGTAACCAATTAATACATATTAATAAAAGAAAGTAGTTTATAAAAGTTTACTTTGATTAAATGTTTATTCAAAGAAATAATTTGAGGCTTGAATACTTGATTTTTCAAAGAAATACAAACTTTTGAATTTGTTAGTATAGGCCACCAAATATACTGAACCAATAGAAAATTTAAAGATATATAGTCTAAATTAATAGAGAATTAATTGAAATTCTTAGTAAATTCTGTTATTTATAGCTTTGGTTCAGTATGGGGTGATGAAATGAAGTAGAAATATTTATCTTTCAGCATTCATTCTTTGTCTGTATGAGACCTTGAAGTTCTCCAGGAGTTCGTTGACAGCTGTATGTCAGTCATACGACCAACAATGCCGAGGTTTTCGCAGCCGGATGTTTTCTGCTGCTTCTCGATAGTCGCTTCCAACTAGACTAATTACGATTTGTAATCGTGCACAGAAACATATCGCAGGAAGGATGTGGAAATGCCACAAGTGCGGAAAACCCGTCTACTTCGGTGAGTTAACGAAATGAGAAAAAAAAGTGTAGCTGAACATGAAAAAAAGGGGGCTGCAGATTAAATATAGTTTCCTTTGTTTATAGCTGAGAGGAAGCAGTCCCTTGGCTATGACTGGCATCCAGAGTGTTTGAGATGCGAGGAATGTGGAAAGAGGCTGAACCCTGGTCAGCATTTGGAGCATAAAGGAGTGCCTTACTGTCATGTCCCTTGCTATGGGGCTCTTTTTGGGCCACAGTTATTTGGCCATGGAACCAGGGTGGAATCACACAAGAGCTTTGGACAACAGAAGGATTCCCCCAAGTCAGGGCCTACTATACCACAAGCAATTATTGAGACCAAATTGAAGGTGATTAGAATCATACAATTATTAATATTGTGAAATTAATTCTTTCTTTTAGCAATACAATCAATTTTATGATGGTAAAAGTGGAGAAATTCGCAGCAGACATGTGAATGGCAGGTTGATTTTGGAGGGGTCCCTTAGAATACATTGGGGTGTACATGGAATGATCCATTTGAAAGAGAATGTTGACCAAAGGACTGTGGTAACTGTGAGGAAGAGAAATTCGTACCGTCAAAGCTCTGATTTGGATTCGGATGATGATACATTGGATATAACGACTGATTCGAGTTGCAATGATATATCCATCTGCTCTTCCACGGAGACTTTGAGTCCTGACGACAGAACCGATACAGGAATTGAATCGGGCACTGATACCTCAGAAACTATAGATATGCTTCCAAAGAGTTTAACGCTTCCGAACAAATTGGACGTGAAGAACGTCGAATGGGATGAGTTGGATGAGCTGTTGCAGGTGGAGAAGAAGGTCGTCGATGGAGAGAAATTGTACCAGACTATGCCTACATCATTACCATCACAGACTAGTGTCGATAGTAACACCTCGACATATTCTGATGAGTCAACTGAGAAAGTCGGGTATGACTTTTCCATAATTTGTTTACCGATTTATGATAATAATAATATTAAATGTCTTTTATTTTCAGAAACGGTGATTTTAATTACGAGATGTTGACCAATACGACAACCATGACAAAGACATCGAGGGACGATAGTTGGATCGATTCGACTTGCTGCAATCACTTGAATCGATCAATGTCGGGGCCGGATTGTTTGGAGCATGTCAGATCGAAGTCGAAATCGCCAGAGTTCGACAGGACTTCCATGACGAGTTCAATTGCAGACGTGGCCAGCGAGGCGGCAGTTTTGCGTAGGAAGACCGGTTCGACGGCGATCAAACGTAGGCCAGGAAAGAGGTTGTCAAGATCGAAGATCAAGCGGAGATGTTCGATCAATGGACACTTCTATGATCGCGAAACGAGCTTCTTTACGCCTCCTCATGGAAGTCAGATGAGCGTTTGGGTGTCCTCTCTTGTCAACACCCACGAGGTGATTAACCTAATGCTGGAGAAGTACAAGGTTGATAGCATTGGCAGCAATTTCGCTCTCTTCGCTGTTAGAGATAACGGAGGTAATACAGATGTAATCCTATAGTTATATTTATAAATATTCTATATTATTTGTAGAGCAACGAAGATTGAAGGACGACGAATATCCGTTGGTGTCTAGAATCCTTCTGGGACCGCACGAGGATGTGGTCAGATTGTTTTTAATGGACAGCGACAATACTCCGGAGGTGAGCAACGAGGTGGCGCAGTTTCTGAATTTCAGTGTTGCTGAGTGCAGAGGTATCTTGAGCCAATACCAGAGGCAAGAGGAGATGGAGGTGGACAGAATCAAAAATAAGTACGCGGAAATGAGAAAGAGGATAAAGCAACGAATGAACGACCTCAAAGTCAGATTGTAGACGTGCTAAACATCACAAATATCCTTGTATCCCTCTCTATCTTTCTAATTTATATTCGTATTCGTTTTTTTTTTCTTCCTTTTTTTTATCTAAATATTTATATATTTTAATAATTAATCTATTATATATAGAGATGTAACGATACTACTAACTGGAGAAGAAGTGGATTTACTGAGAATTTCACATACTACGCTGTGTTCGGAAGTTTTTCAAAATATTACATATTATATAGAAATATTAAGTGAATAGTTTATAAGTGAAACTAAATTGTTTATGAAGACTGTTGTAGAATTAATAAAAACACTAATTGCAATGCTTATATTGTAAAATTCAATTCAACATTCCTGAAATAATATTATTAACTTTCATGTAAATAAGCACGTTTCAGTAATTTAATCAGTATCAATTTAAATGTTAGTTTAACATTAGCTTTAAATTGTTATATTTTTCAAATTACGCGCGTTTCCAGGTCATCCTGCAGGATCAATACAATTTCGTAATGTTGGCAACATACATTTTTATATAACCCTGATTCGTTGCGTTCGGCACATCCAATTTTACTTCTTGGTCTTTCGGCGTTAAAATTCTAGTGTTTGAAAATGCAAGTCCAAAGGGCCCACAAACTTTTGCAATCCATCCTCACCAAAAGGGGTAAGATTCCTTGTCTTAACGTTACACAAGTTCATTTTTTTCCTAATGGTGCACACCTATCAACAGTCGTAAATTATACAAAAAAAAACAATTGCTTACAGCAAGGAGATTGTGATTTTAAGCCTGAAATACCTTAAGATTATATTTTGGAGCGTTATTGATCGATTTGAGAGTTTCCTTTGAATTACGTAATTAACCTCAAACTGTCATTAAATTGGATTTGTTTTGGTTGCAGTGCCGAAGAGGAATGCCCACCACTATGAAGGTCCTCCAATGACCACCTATAACGACTTGCCAATCCCACAGGGCAGCTGGCAAACCCATCATGATGCCATGCAAAGGAAGTACAATGCCCATTTGGCTATGGGTATTGGCTTTGCCATTGTCACCTTTGCTGTGGCCCAAATGGGTGGATTCTTCTACTTCAACTACAATGAGCCTAAAGTAGCCAAGGCCAAGAACGATTACAAGTAATTTGTATAACTTGTACAGTAAACAAAAACGCCCTAGTGAAATCAATATATATGTAAAACTAGTTTAATAAATATCGTTATTTAAATTCCAATTGAATGTCCGATTAATTAATTAAACCAACATATATATATATATATAATAATTTGTTTGCTTTATTTACAAATAAATTTAATAAAAACTAAGTTTTTTCTTTTTTTAAAAAATAAAAATAGGTACTTTAAACAAATACAAAAATAAATATTCCTCAACTATTTGTATAGAAAATAATCTCTAAAGCGAAAAAAAAAGAACTATTAATCGGGCCTATTTCTTCCCATAGTTTAACTATTATCTAAATTTGTAACCTCCCAATTCCACCCTATAAAACGGACAAGCGATGAACGTTAAAATCTAGATGATAGCTAACGGTAGGACGGAGGGCCTAAATGAGTTAATAGAGACGTAGACGTGTGTATATATAAGCATAAAGTAGTTTCGTTATAAAGAAAAGAGCGTGAAAATATAAAATCAATAATTATAGACCGGAAGTTCCATTGATATGTGTATAAACAATATATTCGCAAAATCAACAACGTGCCAAAAAAACACTTTTCCTGCTTAGTATTTCCTATCTAAAAGAACTTTCTTCTGTTAAATATTATTATTTCAATCGATTTTCCACTCGAACGAAGGGCGCCAAAGCACCTAAATAACTCCCTACTGCATCATCAAACTTTCCGATTTCTTTTTAGCTCTACTTAAAGTAAAAAAAAAAGAAAGTAAAATCTCGAACTAAAACATAAGCTTTGGTAAAAGCAAAATTTCCAAAATAATATAAAATATATAAATAAATACTGATTGCGAGTTGTAAATATTATAAACTGAAAATAATAAGTAAAAATAGAAGCGATTATCATTAATATTGTTATTTCCGAAAAAGTATAGAGCGCGCGCGTAACTTAAAATAGAAAAAAAAAAACACATAATGTTAGCCGATCTGTGTCCTGTTTTCTTTTCTCGATAAAAATGAAGCATATCTACTACGAATCCTCTGACGCACTCGTGAATTTGTTTCATTGTTAGACCGTATCTCGAAACATACTAGGAGAAACTTTGGAGCCATGGATGGTCGAGGACGTCTTCGGCGGAGAACCGAAGCTCCGGAGCAAGCTGAAGCATATTCTGAATCAGCTCCTTGGCGGTATTGGAGACATCCCCCCAATATTCGTCGGGGAAGTCGTACTGTCCGGAGAGTATGCAATCGAACAACTTCTCCTGATCGTTGTCTTGATTCACGAAAGGCGGATATCCGCACAGCAAGATGTACATTATCACACCGGCAGCCCAAACGTCGATCTTAAAATGCAAGTAAATACAATTGGAATTATATTCTTGATTTAGATGAACTCACTTTAAGGCCATATCCGGTTTCGGCGAGGATCTCTGGAGCTACGTAAGTAGGTGTTCCGCATACGGTGAACAAAAGTTCATCTACTTTGCACGCCAACCCGAAGTCGCCGAGCTTTAAAATTCTTATTCTATCTCCATCAAAATCCACCTGAGAATAGGATTGACTCGTACATTGTAGCAAGATTAATAATTGTGCAACTTACAAATAAATTTTCTGGCTTTACGTCGCGATGCACGATGTTCAGGTTGTGTAAATAAGACAGTGCAGATGCCAAATGGGTGATCATCAAGGAAGCCTGCTCTTCTGAGAATTTTTGCGAAACGGTGATGGCGTCAAAAAGATCACCACCTGTAATTCAGAATACATGTTAATATTTGATTAATTAAATTATATTAAAATTTGAGAAACACCAAAGACATTAATAATATTGTGTTAATTTGTATGTTAAAGAATTTTTTCAATTGTGTTGTTTCTTGATCATTTGAAAACAAATCATTAAAACCAAAATTAGGACTGAAAGGGTTATTGATCCCTGCACTTGAGTTATTCTTAGTTATTCATCAAAATCTAAATATTTATAATACATGTTTATTTAGAGCGGAAACCTTTGTTTCACGATTTAAAAACTTAAAACACGCAACCGAAAACCGCATTAGTCAATTGGGTTGCAGAATTCAACTAAATGAGTTCCAATTGATCGGTTGATGTGTTTGTGTGTGTATATATATATGTAAATATAAAAAAAAGCACCGTACCTTTGGAAAGTTCAGCGACTAAAAATAACATGCTAGGCGTGTCTTGTTGCTCCACAAAACGTATAATATTAGGATGATCCACTTTCCGTAAAATCGACACCTCGTTGTCTATCATATCTTCCTGGAAATTTCGCTCAAGTAGTAAATTCGCAATTTTTGCAAACGCGAAAAACATAGTGGAAAAACGGAAGCACTTACTTTCCCTTTGCACTTCGATTTGTCGATGATTTTCAGGGCGTATTCCACACCGGTCACTTTATCTTTGCACAGTCGAACCACCGCGAAATTACCGTCCCCAATCATTTTTCCCACCGAATATTTCCCTTTCAGCTGAGATGGTAGATTAATGTTCTCATCTTGGCTCAATTTGGCTAACAAATTTCCTTCAGATTCGAACGTCCTGTTCCATTTCTTTTTAGGCATTTTGGGCTTTGGTCCCACCCTGCAATTAAATAAGTAATACAATTGAATAAATAATTATAATGAATTATTTTACCCATTTTTTAATCCAGGAACTTTCTTATAGGATTGTATGGATTTACTCTCCTCGAATTCCAATTCGAAATCGGTAATGGAATATCTTTCGTTGCCGTAAACGAAGAAGACGTCTTCGATGTCGAAAAATTGCGTGAGAGATGTAACGGTACTGCCGGAAAGGGTGAATACTTTTCGCACAGCCCCGGAGTCTAATTGGGCCGCTTCTGTTAAAGCCCTAAGGACTTGTTCCATGCTGGACGAGTTTCTTTTATTTAAAAGCAATCTAATTATTTTCCTAGGCTTGTTCGGACCGTTCCTAATTATAGTTACTAAGCGAGGCCTAACGTATTCAGGGGATATAATCCTAGGCAAGGATGGTGTTGTAGGCAGCTTCAAACTACTCAGTCTCCTAGATTTGTTCAAGTCCGTTTTGTTATACTCAATTTTCTTAAAAGTATCCCCTTTCCCACCACACACATACTCCTTGCCATCCTCCAGTTCATCAACATTTGAAATCTATCGAGTTTTAATATCAATATTGATGCAGCAAAATATTTAAAAAGATCTTACCTTTTTCCCATCAATTGTGAATATTGTTCTTACCCCACTGGGTAAATTGACACTTTTTATGAGTATGCTAGTTAATTCCACTTTGAGGCTATCAAAAGTCCTATAGCGCTCAGGTGTTACTGGGATCACTACACCATAAAAGAATTTATTGCCATTATGGAAGAACCTAATCCGCTTGGCTTTCTGGGTGCGCAGGGCTGCAGATGAAAGCCTTCCTCTTGTGGGTGTCAGGTCATCAGCTATGCTGTCAATGATTTCATCTGAGGTGATGCTGTTGCAGCTGGCAGATGAAAGGCTGCGGCTCCCATTAACATTGTTTTTTGACATCATTGCAGCAGTGGGACAGCAGGAAATATGGATGTGTTAAGTTAATTTCAAATATACCCCTACAAAATCATTGCATCTGTGTATGGTTCAAAAGCACTTTACAGTGGTTTCCGCCTAACTGTCAACAGCAACAAGAGCGGTGATTAAAAAAAAAAAACAACAAAACAACAGAGCTTCGGAGCGGAGCGGAGAGCCACGAATTTTGGGCTTTCCACCATTCGTATTGGAATTGAGCGAAGAGAAGTTGAAAATACCGTTTTGTCCCCCGTTTATGTTGCACTTCTCAAAGTCATAGGGGCGTGAAATTGGCCGCCCCGTCCTATAGCAAAACACACTCCACTGTTTTATAACTGTTTATTAATTACGCTATTTGCTGCTATTAACCTCTTTTTCGGCTAAACGGGAGCAGCCACACCAGACCCACCAACATAAAGCACACCCCAAATAATACAAACAAAAAAACGCGAGATAAACCTACAAACTTTTTTTCTCACTGTATTAAACTTTAACTTTTCTTAGAGTCTTAATTAAAGAAGACAAAACTATAAATCGATAACACTGTTAAAGAACTTGTACGAATTCAATGCTACTGATTAAATTACCTATTATAAGTTGGCATACCTGCATAGATTATCTGGTTGCGTTTTCTCTCATCAAATTCTCACATTTCCTTATATTTTGCTTCAGTTAACCTAACATCAATTTGTTAAAATTATCTAGGCAGAATGGTTCGTAAATTGAAGCACCACGAGAAGAAGCTTCTCAAAAAGGTAGACTTCATCTCCTGGTCCATTGACAATAATCTTCATGAAGTTAAAATCCTTAGGAAGTACCATATCCAAAAGAGAGAAGACTACACAATGTGAGTAAACAATATTTGTATGAAATAACTGAAACTAAGATACATTTTCATTTGCAGATATAATAATTTGGCTAGACAGATTAGGGATTTAGCACATATGATCAAAGAAGTTGATCCTAAACATCCTTTCAGGACTGAATGCAGTTCACGGCTGTTGGAGAAGTTGTATGTTTTAGGGCTCA